GAAACAGGAATATTGAACATTGTCATACATTCAGAGTTGTAAAGTCCCTCCTCATATTATCATAAACAGCAGTGTTTTGGAATTCAATAAGCCTCCAAACTCATGGATGTATTATTCAGAATGGATCTTGTGTCTTTATCTGACTGGCACCTGAAACAAAATGCCCTCACCGACACTGCCCTTTGTGATGTGATGATCTAAAGCAATAAATTGAATGTGTGCAGGAGGTTGCCGGTGGATGTCACAAGTGTTATTTGTGTTTCTGTAGTATATGCAGTGCCAAAACATTCCCGGGAACATTGAGCTGACGGTGAACATCCTCACTATGGGATATTGGCCAACCTACGTCCCGATGGAAGTGCACCTGCCTGCTGAGGTCGGTATACAAATATTGACAATTTCAGAACATGCTGGGTTTTTTTATAACCTGCCATGCAATAAATATATAGAGAGTGTTGCTTTGTAACGCTTTTGTTATCTTTGTCCAGATGGTGCGACTGCAAGAGATCTTCAAGACCTTCTACCTGGGCAAACACAGTGGCAGAAAGCTGCAGTGGCAATCAACGCTCGGCCATTGTGTGTTAAAAGCTGAATTTAAAGAGGTAGGTAGCTCATTTATAAGAATGCTGTGGTGTGTTTTGCTCACTCGGTGAAGAAAGCTTAATTTTAATGGTTTTCTTCTTTTTTTTTTTTTAAAGGGCAAGAAGGAGCTGCAGGTGTCACTTTTCCAAACACTCGTGCTGCTGATGTTCAACGAAGGAGAGGAGTTCACACTGGAGGAGATCAAACTGGCAACAGGAATAGGTCTGTGTGATCACATCAGAGTTTGGTTGGCAGCACTTTGATGAAGGAATAAGGGTTGTCAAGGACTCATTATGCAGCACCACAGATCTAAAACACTTTCTGTTTGTGTTTTCCCTTACAGAGGACAGTGAACTGCGCAGGACTCTGCAGTCACTTGCTTGTGGAAAAGCACGTGTCCTCACCAAAATCCCAAAAAGCAAAGACGTGGAGGATGGGGACAAGTTTTCTTGCAATGACGACTTCAAACACAAGCTCTTCAGGATCAAAATTAACCAGATCCAGATGAAAGAAACGGTAAAAGTGTTATTTTACATTAATTTCCTCTCTTCGAGGCCTTCGAGGTATTGGTGAATTATTTTAACTTAACTGTTTTCTCCCAGGTGGAGGAGCAAGCCAGTACCACAGAAAGGGTCTTTCAGGACCGGCAATATCAGATTGACGCTGCCATTGTGCGGATCATGAAGATGAGGAAGACTCTGAGCCATAATCTCTTGATGTCTGAGGTGTACAACCAGCTGAAGTTCCCTGTCAAGGTGATTAGCATAAAACTGAATTGAAAAATATTTAATTGACCTATATGAGGCACTCTGTTACTGTTTCACTCTATTGTGTTATCATCCATCCATTTTCTGTGTGTTTTCATCCTGTGCAGGGTCACAGGGTTTATTTTGCTACTGTTTATTTAAAACAAACTTGTATTTCCATCACACACACACACACACATACACACACATACACACACACACGAACTTGGTTGTATGTTTTTACAGTTTTTTCAGTTTCTGTGGTGGACAAACTATGAAATGGAGACAAAATGCACTTAGACATAGTCTTTACTGTTATTTCTTGTTACTCCCCAGCCTACAGATACATCAATATCTCCAATAAGCTGATATCAAATGATATCTTTTGCTTTTTCTGTATTCTACATGTTCAGGGGGCCATTGAAATGATAAAACTCATGAAATCTCATGAAATCTCTCTTTTCGGGTGTTATTTTATAGAGGCACCTTTCCTGCTAACAAGCTACCACCGTCATTAGCTGACAATACAGTCATAGCTGAATTAAAGTTGATTTAATACAAGTTTACCCGGATAAGATCTAAACTGGCCTGTACGGGAATAGCAAGTTACCTTGAAAAAGAGGCATGGCTTACATGAATCAGCTTTTCACTGCGATTACGTCACACTTCCAAGTATAAAAATAACCAGAATTGCTGGCATGTGCCTCGTGTGTTAACCTCTGCCTCCTCTCTGTGCTCTGCCCTTTCAGCCTGCTGACTTGAAGAAGAGGATAGAGTCTCTTATTGACAGGGACTATATGGAGCGTGACAAGGAGAACCCCAACCAGTACAACTATGTGGCTTAGACAAAAGAAAAAGTGACACAGAGAAAGAGACGCAGATGGTCCAGTCAGGCTGAGGTGATCGGTCTCTAAATCTTTTGCTCCAGTGGACGTTAACCATTATCATCTTCAACCCAGCGACCGACAAGTGAATGGATACTGCTCCACAGGATTTTTTTTGTCAGGGGTCTTGTGATCCTGTGGACTGCATGCCCATTGAAAAGAGAATATTGTCCATATTTTTCTCAATGCCTCTGAGAGAGTTGGGCTACGGTGGACAGACAAAGAAGACACACAGATGTTGTTCCGTTTGCTTTTTTTTTTTTTTTTTTAAAAGGAGAGGAAAAATATTTATTTTCAAACTTAGATTCTTCTTTGTCCATAGTTTGAATCAATATGCTCTTTGTTATCAAGTCACTTTTTTTTTTGTTCATTCAGTATCCCAAGCAAATGCTGACACACTTAACAATGCTCTAAATGTACCACACTTTCCAGAGAAAAAGGATCAAAACAATTAAACTGATGCTTGTTTCTTCAGTCAGTGTCAAATGTGGGACTATTGGACTAACATTCATAGTAGGGAATTGACCTTTTGGGGAATATCTGTGTCAAATGTGTGATCCTGCAGCGAAGTTTTACAATTTTTAGGGCCATGTAGCCGTCTGATAAAACTGTGATCATGAACACACAAAGCTTCAAAGCCGAGTTTGTGCCAAAAAAAAAAAATAAGGAGCACTTCTTTTGTTATAGGGTGTATTCAAGCTGCTAAAACAGTTCAGTTGTACAAGTATATGCATTTAAGTTTTTTGTTTGTTCTGTCTTGTTCTGTATGTTTTTGTACATACTTCACAAAAGTGACATTTTAAATGATCTCATCCGACAGTCAACTGCTTTTTAGGTTTTTGTTAACCCGTAGAAAGTATACTAAAAGCACAACGACATCAGAGCCCATTTTCCCATCTTCCCCGGTGTCACACCACGTTCATACACTATATATTTTTTTTTGTATGTCTCCCTGTGGGGCTTGCAGGCCTTTGCTGAAAAGTGAGGGGAAATGGGAGTGGATTTGCCTCAACGTGAGGAAAAATATGCCTGATTAGACATGCCCTTGTTTGTATGAGTCTGTTAGATTTATTGCTTCAGATTAAAATAACTGTTTCAATCGGGCTTTCTTTTTTTTATTAATCATTAAGTCCCAGACACATGTTCACTGTCTTGTATGAAAACATTTGTGTGTGTAATATTCTGTATGCAGCACAATAATTAACTCTGCAAAAGGGGGCTACAGATTTAAAGACAGAGGTTATACAGATTTAAAGACAGAGGTAGTCCACAGATTTAAAGACAGAGGTAGTCCACAGATTTAAAGACAGAGGTAGTCCACGCCTCTTCTGGTTTGACACAGCCCCCGTCATATGACTTCCATTTCCTGGTACAGTCGGCGGCGGCACTGCTTCATCCAAACCCCGCAGACTGAGCGTCCTCGTCGGGTTCATTCGTCTTCTCTCTCCGGTGGCTGACACTCCGAACTGCTGAGCGACCATGTACCGATATGCTGCATTAGTCGCATTCCTCGCCTTTGGACTCGGTATGTGTCTTCACCTCGACTAGTCCTCAGATAACAGTGCAGAGAACAAATGCTGCTTTATGTGTTTTACTGCGAAGTGACGCGATTAAAGCTGCGGGCTGCTGCGGGGCCTGCTGCTTCCTGGGCTCCGGGTCAACGCTGCTCTGGACAGAAAGAGATTACTAAGATTATTCTACTTGTAAACTGCGTTACATGTGTGGACATCACTGTGGTCTGAGGCTGAATTCACCGCACGGGCCCATCATCGGGGAGCAGTCTGGTCGTCATGTTTTGCTAATGAAGCTAGCTCGGTTGCTAATTGTTACCTACGTCAACAACCCCGCTCGGTCGCACTACAGAAACTAAACTAACTCTTCTCACACAGCCGCTCCTCTTTCACTCTTCTGACTCACACACAAAGAAGACAAACTGCGTCCTGAAAACGGACTGTGGTGAAATCTCAAACGTTGCACTGCATTAACGTAGCTAACGTAGCTAACGTTAGCACATCGGTTGACTAACACTTGTTTTGAAGTTTTGACCTGATAATTGTTGTTATTATCGTCATTATTTATTATTATTATTATTATCCTCAGGACGACCTGAGTCATTTCTGTTGCTAAGTAACGTTAGCCACACACACAGCAGTGAGTGTAAACGGACCAGAAACCCCGTTAGCATGTTGCTAAAGTGGCTAAACGCGTTAGCAGCAGCTGACTAAGTGATCACGTGATAGTACACGTGATCACTGTGTGAGTCAGATACTGTTTACTGCTTCTACTGTTACACAGATTATTGTAGATTATATTATAAAGACAAGATCACTGTTGGTGTCAGAGGAAACGAGGAGGAGATAGAGAGAGAGATAGAGAG